TTATAATGACATTGGGTCCATCCAGATAATCTAGGGTCATCTTTCCATCTCAATATGCTTAACTTAATCACATCTGCAAAGTCCCTTTTACCATGTAAGGCATTCACAGGTTCTAGGGATTAGGACATGGACATCTTTAGGAGGGTGGGGCATTACTTTTCATACCAGAGAAAGATACTATAAAAATGAGTTCCTTGAGATCAGAGTTCATACCCTCCTCCTTTCTGCATCATCAGAACCTAGCACAGTCATTGCCTGGCACCTAGAAAGCACTCAGCAAATGTTTAATAATTGCTTTGATTGGTATGTGCTATGTGACAGACACTCTTCTAGGTGCTGGGAGAAATGTCAGTGAACAAAACACCATTCTAGTTTTTATAGACCATACATTCTAGTGTGGGGAAGTAGAGAGTACACACCAAAAACCTGTATTAGGTGATGCTATGAAGAAAAACAAACCAGGATAGAGACAGAATGTGCTAGTTGTGCTATGTAAGAAGTCCTCTTAGACAGGGTGCAATTTGACTAAAGACTAAAAAAAAACTGGGGAACCAGGTTTGTGAATATTTGGGATAAGAATATTTTGGAAAGATGAAATGATATGTGCAAAGATTCTGAGTTAGGAACATGCTTGGATTTTGAGATTTTTAAGGAATAGTAAGGATGCAAATGAAGCTTACAATGAAAGAGGGAGAGAATGGTATAAGATGAAGTCAGACAAGTAGACAGATAACAGAATGCATAGGATTTTGTAGTCTGGGGTGAAGATTTGGATTATACTCAGAGAGAGATGGAGGTACATTATGGGTTGGAACAGAAGCTGGCAAATATCTGACTTATATCTTAAAAGACTAGTCTGGCTGCTATGTGGAATACCAGCTGTGGGAAGGCTAATGGAGGAAGCAAGAAAACAAGACAGAGAAGTGATGGTGACCTGGATTAATTTGGTAGCAGTGGTAGGGGTAAGAATTTGTAGCTCATTCTGGACATATTTTTAAGATGGGGTCAAAGATACAGATGTAGTGAAAATAAGGGGCACATGGACCCCAATGTTTATAGCAGCAATGTCCACAACAGCCAAACTATGGAAGGAGCGAAGATGTCCTTCAACAGATGAGTGGATGAAGAAGATGTGGTTCATATATACAATGGAATATTACCCAGCCCTCAAAAAGATGAATACCCACCGTTTGCATTGACGTGAATGGAAATGGAGGGTATTATGCTAACTGAAATAAGTCAAGCAGAGAAAGACAATTATTGTACGGTTTCACTCATATGTAGAACATAAGGAATAGTGTGGAGGACTGAAGGGGAAGGGAGGGAAAACTGAATGGGAAGAAATCAGAGAGGGAGACAAACAATGAGAGCCTCTGGACTCTGGGAAACAAACTGAGGGTTACAGAAGGAATGGAGTGGGGTATGGAGTAACTGGGTGATGAGTATTAAGGAGGGCACGTGTTGTCATGAGCACTGGGTGTTGTAGCCAACTAATGAATTATTAAACACTGCATCAAAAACTAATGATGTACTATATGTTGGCTAACTGAACATACTTTAAAAAAAAGATGAGGCTTGTATGATTTGCATGATGGATTGGCTGTGGTCTGAGAGAAAGAAAGCAATTATCTTTCTTGGATGAGGCTGAGCATCTGATGAGTGGAGGCACCATTCACTGAACCAGAGAAGATTATAAAACAAGGACAAACTTTCAGTTTTGTCTATGTTTAAATTGATGTTCATCAGACATTAAGTCAAAATGCTGTGGATAGACATGGGGAGACTGGCGTTCAGGAGAGGAATTGGGGCAAAAGGTATGCTTCTGGGAATCAGCATGTGGATGCCATTTAAAGCTGTAGAACTGGATGAAATCCCAGGGGAGACATTTTAGAAAAGAGGTGGCACCAGAATTGAGCAAAGAGGTATTTTTCTGTTTGAAGGTCAGGACTGTGAAGACATATCAGCAACAGAGTGTGCTAACAAGCAGGCAAGTGAAGAATGATAGGATCCAAGACAGAGTGATGTCCTGGAAGCCAAATGAAGACAAATTTTCAAGAAAGGAGTAATCAAATGTGTCAGCTGTTGCTGAGGTGTAAGATGAGGACCTCAAAATAGCCATTTTTAACATGATGGAGGTGATTGTGTTTTGATAGAGTTGGGAATACAAATGCCTGATTGAAGTTATTCATGGAGCTTCAAGTGCCTTTATATTCACGCAACAGAAGAGAATCCTTGTTGTATTTCTAAATGTTGACAAGTACTTAAAACTTAATGTTATGTGATTTGGGGCTGACTGGTAGTACAGTTACTGGAGTTTTTTGAAGTTTAATTAAAATTTCTAAGTTGGTCAGGACGCCTGGCTGCCTCAGCCTGTACAGCATGTGACTTTTGATCTTGGGGTCATGAGTTCAAGCCCCATGTTGGGTGTAGAGATAACTTAAAAAAATTTAAAAAAGGTTTCTAAGTTGGTCATCTAGCATATCTTTATTTGCAATACCCTTAAAATGTGTTAGCTTTAAACTTACTAAATTCCTTAACTCCAATTAATCTCCTTTCCATTCTAAGACCGATGAGTCCATAAAATGGAGAGATTTATATAACTAGGACAATTTCCATTTTTCTGGGAGAGCAACAACTGAGTGCAGGCAGAATAGTTTGAAAGGCACTTTTGCTTTAACTTTTTACCCCATTTCTTCATGGTGCTGACAGAGATCAAATATCAAATGCTCCAGGTCAGAGATTAGTTATGGGGATTCTTTAGTTGAAAGTGCATTCATTCTTTTGAGACCAATAAATATGTTAGTAATTAGTGTTATTTAACTGCATATTCCCCTCCTCTTAGTAAAATCAACTATCAAAACATTGTTGGCATATATATGACTCTAATATCTAAATCATAGAGTTTATATTTGGTATATTGTGCAAAAAAAAGAAAATAAATAGGAATAACTGGAAAGCACATAAAATATTGAAACTCATAGAGCCAATAAAATTCTCAAGTATTCTGCCAATGTTCATTAGATTCCTTAAAATACAATGCATAAATGAACACTATTCCACAGGCTTCTCCCATATTATACTCTTTTGCTTTTTTAATTTCCTTTTTACAGGTGGGACAGTTATAGTTGGCAAGCGATTGACAAATAGCAGGGAAGGTTGATTAGGAAAGGGAGAATGTGAAAGAAATTTGCTACATTGAATTTACAGCCTTTAACTGTGATCTGAGGACAGAAATCATCATTCATGTACCTGGCTTGTTCTAGGCAAATGTAGGGTTTTAATGGGATGAGAATCTGCCCTTGATCCCTCTTATACTCTTGCTGTCTGCCGACTTCCCTCTTACTGAGGATGTTCTTTTTGCAGTGCCATTTAAAGCTGCATTAAATTGTAAATTATATGTCTATATACATATAATTTACATATTTCATTATCTTCTGCTTGAAATTCATCCATCTTGGTTCTACAGATGTTTTCTCTTACAGATGTTTTCTCTGCACACTCTTAGATTTTAAGGTGGTAAATGATCTGTGCTAAAAATTGCTTGCCTTAATTCTAGATTAAAACTGACAAAATAGCCAACCAACCAGCCTTTACTAACTTGAAAGTAAAAATAAGCAGAAAGGGAGAAATATATTAATGACAGTTGGCAAGTGGCCAATCCCCCAATTCATCTATAGGCATAAAACTGACTCTGGACATGTGAATTCAGGAAAGGGCTTGGAAAGCTCAATATTGGGAGATGTGGATTCTCACTGATTGGAAGGAAAATATTGGTCACTTTTTCTTTTTTTGGTAATGGGCTTACATTTGCTTTTTTATCTGTACTTCATTATTTAATTTCAATATGTACCAAAGGGGATATTGAGTGTTAATGTTATGGATAAGACAGACCCAAGTTCAAATCCCAGTTTTGACACTGGGAGATTTGATCCAGCTACCTACATTCCATGTGCCTCAGTTTCCTCAAACACAGAAGGGAGACAATCCTCATATCATGAAATTGTTGTGATGAGGATTATAGCAAGCAATTCATGAAAAAAGACTAGTGTAAAATATAGACCCTGTAGATTTTAATTGGAAATTGAATAACATATGTTCTGGAAACAAACAATACATTTGACAAGAGTGTAACAGGTATATATTAACAAAGGAAATATTGGGGAAACCATTTCTTGGGTGTGGAAATTTTTCAGTTATAAATAGGAAGACTTTTTGATTCATATTATAAAGTGTTTAGTGCAGAAACATATATCATTTACAAAGAACAGTTTGAAAGCTCAATAGATTCACTCACTAGGAATCATCAAGGTAAAAGAAATGTGGAGGATTAATAATATCACATCAAAATGAAATGTTTATTTACTATAAGAGTTATATTGTCAGACATCATTTCAAAGAACTAAGAGATTATTTATCTACCCCAGGATGAAAGGATATCATGTTAGACTTCACAAACGAATAGTGATTCTGCTTTCCACTCCATCCATCCATCCATCCATCCAACCATCCAACCATCCATCCACCTGTCCATCTGTATATATGCATTTATGTGTTTATATGTCATATCAGAATTATAAATATCTACAAATAAATATCAACAAAATCTCAAAATACAATTTAGGAGACCTTAACCTCTAATTACCTATATGTACCTAATCTCAGTTATTCTTTGAAATTTGGGAGAATCATATATATTATCACACAACTAAGCCTATATAATTTGAGTTAGAATCACTAAGGACAAAAGTACAATCTAAAGTATGACCTCAAAGTTGAAGTGAGCAGATTGCATATAGTTGTGGCTTCCAAATAATAGTCATGTAGAAGTGTGTGAATAACAGTATTGTTGACTTCACACCAGGAAGTTTTTGCCTAGAAATAATGCCTAAGTCTGTTGCAACTATTTTGTTCAATCTACTATACAAACCATAATAAACCTCAGTATCTTCTGGAAAGTGAAACTTTGAATCATTTAAGAATACAAACAACAAAATGTACTGTTATCAGACTTTGGTTTATTGTAAAATTTAGCAAAGATTTTTTTTTTTTTTTGGTAATCCCTGACCCCTTGCTCTGAAAACAAAAGCAAAAAGATGATTATTGCTTATTCTTTTTCCCCCTACTTTATTTGTGCCACTGTAAAAGAGGGGAGAAAAATCACGGTAATAAATAAAAATAAAGATGTAAGAGAGACAGATAAATCAGTCCAGATAAGAAAGATTAGGAGCAACAGAATTATCATCAAGCAGTTTCAAAATAAGCTTCTTTTAAAAAGGTTGTCATATAAAAAAAAATCACACCAAAAATATAGCAGCGGAGAAGGATAAATACAAGTTAATTGCACACCAATCCCATGCAAAAAACTGGGTCATTAGCCAAAGCAGTAGTATTCGGAATCCAGTTTGGGGTGCTTGTGCAGGGCTTGAGAGTCCTCTATTATGGAGCTGTCGCTGAATTGGTCCAAGTCCGATGGGGTCTGATGGCCTGGGACATCATCCGCCAAAGTGTCCAGAAAGCTCCCCACGGAGATGCCATCCAGCCCATCGCTGCCATCATGAAGACTATTGTAGCTGCCACGTAAGGAGGTGCTCTGACTCTCCAATAAACTGCACAGGCTGCCACTGAGACTGCTGCCTCGGCTGGTGATGGTGGCTTTCTCTTCAATCATCCACTTGATGGACTCAATGCTCTCATTGATAACAAGCAACTGGCGCATGAGCCTGACGTCTGTGGCTCGGAGGTTAATCTGTGTGGAGGGCAGAGAGAGCAAAGACATGCTGGTTATTCTACATTTTTGAAAGACTCAAAATTCATTTGGGTTCTGTCTTCTGCAGGCCATAACTTTATGTGCACAGAATAAAATATAAATTCACTTGATCTCATGACCTTTTGAAAACTGCTGGCCAATGGCAAAAGGCAGAGTCAAATAACTCACTTCCTGCCCTCGATGCATCAGGCTCCAAAGGGGACAGTAAAACCGGCACTGCATCCCTGACCCTAACTCAGCTGCCTGGAAATAACATATTGAATGTCAGGTTCTCTGCTAAGAAATACATTCTCTCTCTGGCCAGATTAATAGTTAATCCATGTTTACTTGGGAATATGCATGTAGATGCTATGAGGTGGGGAGAAGAGAAATGTGTGGTAATTAAGCAATTATCAGCATCACCATCATTGTAGCTGCTCCTAGTTTTTGAGTGATGATGTACCAGACATCATTATGCAAATTCCAACCTTCATTATATTGTAGCAACCTTGGACCACAGGTATTACTTTTATCCCCATTATACAGGTGAAGAAACTGAAATCCACAGAAAGGAGTATGGAAGAGGTCTGCACTCTTTTTGACTGTATGGAAATATACCTAGTTCTAAATAATGCTTTTATTTTTAAGAACCAAATTGATTTAAAATTCCTTGAACCCAAAAGGATGCCATCCATTTTACAAGTCGAAGCATTCAGATCAGATGTCTTCTATAGATCTGATTATTTGCCTCAGATAGGTCAGGGGAAGCCTCAATCAAAATTGGTATATAAAACTCTGAGAAAGTTCTAGAACTCCCTCAGATACCTTCTAGGTGTGTAGTCCTTCTGATAGTTCTAAATTACTTCAAAGAAACCTGTCCTCACAGCACAAAGCAGAATTTCTTTGTAGGTCTTATAGTTAAATGGGAACGTTTGCTAACATCAAGAGTGTGGTGTTTCTGTGGAAGGTGGAGAGAGGTAGGCTGCAAGAACTCTCATGACTGCCCATGTTCTTGTTGTAAGTGAAGAGATGTGGCTCCTATAAATTTTAGCTTCTAGCACCTGGACTGGGAGTCAGGGATACATTTGGCCACCAGAGGTCCCATTCGTTATGGTTTGAAATAGATTTCCTTTTTTTTTTTTTTTTTTTTTTTTTCCAGTTGGGGTCTTTAACCCAAGAGGCTGGGCCTTGCTAATTGTTTCTTTAAGATCCAAGGCTAATTCGGATTTGTGGGTTTCTAGAATTATTAAAGGCATTCAGTCATGAATGACTCAAGCCTTTAAGGAGAAAGGAGCTATTGTCTTCAAATGTATGCATTCATATTGTAAAAATATTTCCTGGTTAGGAGTTAATCCATAACCAAAGGTGAACTTTGGGTTGAGTGAATGTGATGAACAAACATTAGGAGAAGATGGAATTTCTACCAATGACTTCAAAGATGTAAGATTACAGGTCATGTATGAATACACATTAAAAAAGCATAAGGTATGATTTTAAAACTCTTAATTTTGCTAGGCTATCACATAAAGTGACATGAGTGACTTCCTTATCTTCTCTGAGGAAAGTACCAAAAACAAACTGTATACAAGGTAACTATGAAAATCGTTTGTCTCTGGGGTGTCCGTGAGCAGAAAAATGTTAACTTATTAAGCTTTGAGATGTTTTTCGGTTACACAGTATCTCAGTGACATTGTGTATCAGTGACCTTGCAGTGATGTTGCATTGAGAAAAGAGGCTTTCTGGCAGTCTTTATGTTCAAATTCACCCCCACACCCTATGAGCCATCAACATACTGTTCAGGTTACATGTAATACAACAAATATTTATAAATCAACAACTTGTCCTGGTCCACTGAGGAGCCTAGAAAATCAATATGAGCCAAAGTCTTACAAAATTCTTCTGTGAGGCGTCTGTAGCAGATGAGACACGCTGTGCCCATTGTCGGCCTGGTGCCATATAAATGGGACCATTTCCCGTCAGCACCCCAGATGAACCACAGCTGCATTTGTTCACATCCCCTCCCTGTCGCATGAAAACATTCTGGTCTGTGCCCAGCTGTGGGTGTGTTCCCTGTTAGTCTCCTCACTTGAAATACTTCCCTCATCCTCTTCAACACCCCCCCCCCCCCATTCCTAAAGTCCTCTAAGCACTACTTGCTGATTCCAGCCTCCTCTGCTGGCCCATGTACAAAATGTCTTACAATTTTTCCCTATCTTAAGGCCTGACCTAAGTAAGCATTGATTGATTTTTTTTCTTTAATTGGCATAAATTTAGATCTGTGGACGTTCAGCTCTTAAGGCAGTAATAACGCACATTCCCAACGACTGTGTCACTCTGGGGTTAAAACATACTCAGGACAAATTTTTTCCAGCAATTTTTGTCTGAGTTACACCGTGGCTGCCTCAAACACAAATTGAGCAATGCAAATCAGAGGAATAGACTATGAAGTAACAAAAGCTTCCTTTGACCATGAAATGATTTATTTAGAAAAAATCTTTTTCTTCTGAAGGCAAACATTCACAGGCCATTGAACCACTCCTGGGGGGAAAAATGATGAAAGCGAGTCAGTTAGAACGCGTTGATCTGGCTGCTAATGATGACAGACCTAACTCCTAACTCTGTCCTGCGGAGGAGAGAGTAAACAGCTGCTCTGTGGGAGCGCAGGGCCACCCGTTCTCACGGCGGCCTGTCCAACACCTGGCGCTCCAGGCTGCCCCATACCGCTTGCTCCTGGAACTAAGGTGTGGTTATGCTGTTGCCAATGAACGTTGGAAGTCTGAGCAATCCACCACAGGACAAAATCACAGTGTTGCTTCTGTCTCGGGTTGCGGCCCCGCTTTTCCTCCCTGTTATTCATGTCAGTGTTTATGAAGTGGGGCCATCTATTAAGGAGACCGTCGTCTACCCCGTCGGTAGGAAAGTGTCCGGTTCTTTCACCTAAAAGTCTTACAAAGTCTTGTGACTTTAAAGCTATAGAGAGTTGGGAAACCCTTGTCATGGTCTGACATGGTCTGACATTTAAGTTCCCCTTCTTGGAGAACTCCTTCCTGATCCATCATGGTATCCAGTCTCCATGCCTAGTTGAATACTACATTTCTGGTTTTTTGTTCCCTTCATGGTATTTATGGCTAGTGGAAATCATCCTGCTTATTGTTGGTGTGTGTACTTTTTGTGTTCCTCATAAGCATGTAAGCACCACAGAATGCAGGGGATTTGGTCTATTCTGTTCACCACTCTGTGCCCAAGGCCTGCAAGAGTGCTTGGCACATAGTAGGTGCTCGATTTGTCTTTCTTCAAGGGCTGATTGTTTCAGACTGCACCATCTGTCAAGAACACCCCTCCCTTGGGCTTTGCCGTGGGTCAGCGATATGTGACTTGAGAGAAAGAGAATGGCGGCTCTGGAAAGAGCATTTCCGCGCTAGAGCATTGCCAGCATGCAACCCATTCTGATTCATTCACAGGATTCAAACACGGTATTCCTAGCTTGAATATACAGATTATCGAGATAGTATCTCTCAAAGGAAATGGACTGCAAGGTGTGAATCATACTCCAAACATTATTCTGTTTGTTCCGAGGTGATAACTGCTTCTGGTCTTAGCACAGGCACAGGGTTCTGTAAACACTTGATGAAATGAGTTAAACAAAGGGAACAAACAAACAGGACATTTACAAAAAAAAAAAAAAGAAGAAGAAAAGGAAAAGAAAAAAGAAAGGAAAGGAAAGGAAAGGAAAGGAAAGGAAGGAAGGAAGGAAGAAAAAGAAAGAAAAAAAGAAAGAAAGACAAAGAAAAGTTTTGCACAGATTGATCGAAAGAGATGTGATTGTCCTTCCCTCTTTTCCCCCACCACCCCCTACCTGTCCCACCCCCCACTCTGGTCCTTGCATTTTTGCAATGTGGTTCACCTTCATACTTAACTGAGGTCTCTCATGCTTTAGGATTGTAACATAGGTCTCCAGACTTGGTAAATGCTGAAATTTCCTATCATTTTTGGACAAGTAGTAAACTGGGTCTTTGGCAGAAATTGAAATGAGGGATCCTAAAAGAGCAAATAATCTTAATAATAAACTTTCCCAGATCTGTGTTTTCCTCCTGGCTATCATTTTAATGCTGAAAGAAGACAAACATTATAACTTAGCATAATGGAATCCAAGAAGGAGAGAAGGTGGTCAAATTTTCAATTAATCAGGGAGTTGTTGAACAAGTCAACTTTTTTTGTGGTGCTGTCCGAGGAACATAGTACAGGGTTCTAGCCTGCCACTGTCACTGTCTACCTGTGTGACCTTTGGGCAAAGTGGTTTGGCACACAGGATCTCAGCCTTTGCATTCATGAAGACAAAGGATGAGGTTTTATTCTCAGCTCCAGTGAGCCATAGGCCTCAGTGGAGGTGGTAAAGCAGTCTGTGAACAAAGGCTCATTTCTGCCAGTATTGAAGATTTAATTCGACTGAGGAACCTCCTATCACTTCTGTCTGCTTTTCACACTGAGGATTTATTTAAGATGTTATTTGAGGCAAAGAATTTGCAGATCAGATTGGCTCAGGATTTCCCTCCATTTTGACATAGTCTCTGATTCTTTCGTCATTCTGGTGACCGTTTGATTACTAAATTGTCTCTGCTTTGAGAAAACCATGTGGGCTATATATAGAGGAGACAGAACAATCAATTTTGCTACTCAACAGCTCCAGCAAAAGCTTTAGCTAGTAAAATCTCATGGCCAAAGCCAGCACTTTGAGCTCTTCATGAATTTTAATCTCCTTATCGGAAATTGCGTGGTAATGGTAATTTTTAATTTTGGCTCTTGCTATTTGGGTTTACATAAAAATCTTATTTGTGTTCTGCTCCAGGATAAACATACGTATCATCATTCATATGCCTATTTATTAACTGAAATGTGTACATGAGCTGCGTAATGTATCTTCCAAATAGGGGCAGTGTTCACTCTATCTTGGCATACGGGAAGCTTGGACAGCACCATGTACTCTTGTCTCTCATAAACCT